GGAAAATAAAGTGACTTATAATAGGTGCTAGGTTAAATGTTTAGTTCACCTCAGGCTTAGATCACAAATCACAACAAAAGGTTCATACTAGTTTGTTTGTTTTTTACATGACTAAAAAATAGTTGACAAAATTATTCACTTTACTTGATGGCTGGTAATCAACCTTTTTATCTACTTGTACTCATTATAAAAGAAAATTAAGTCTTAATGCTTTTCAATTATAATCAAATGAATATTTTTCAGTATTCTCACTTTTTAAGTAGATAATTATGATTAAATTGGACCTTGCAACACTATCTATATATAAAGACCATCTTTATTTAGAAGAATTTGTCCCAAGTGATTATATTTTTGGCAAACAACATTGATAATGTGTCAAATTAATCCTAGCTTTCATATCCCACCTCTCAGTTGGTTACCAAAAAGCATATTTACAAAGATGCCTAAATGTCTGATAAGCTGAAAATGTTTTGTGTTAGCATATTCTTACAAGTAGAAAAGCAAATGTCACTTGCTTTTTTTGGTGGAAAGGGGAAAAAGCAATTATAAATACTATTTTTATGACTCATTACTGGGTTAAATAGCAAAAAACAAGTTAACTTAAATTCAACTATTTAGAAATTTTACAAATCCTCCGCATCTGTCATGGAAGCTTACCTTATGTTCTCATTTAAAGGAGCTCACTGATTGTAAAGGTCAATATTGATTAATGAATTTCTCAAGAAAAATAATCCATCATATGAAATACCTTGAACTATTTAAAATATATCCTTACATGATAAAATATAGAAACTATACATGTTTTAGAATTCTGGAAATATGGTATGTTGCATTTGAGTTAGAGAAACTTAAAAAAAATGATCTTCTTAGTTGATTACTATGGAAAAACAAGAATAAGTATCATTTTGGGAGGTACTATAATTCATACCTTACACCTACTAGCAAATTAAGGTAATACATGTATCACTTAACTTAAATGTATATATTTATACAGAGAACTTCATTTCCATGACTGCTAAGTGACCAAAAAGGGTGAAAGTTTTTATCTTTGCAATTAAAAGGAAGAGAATAAAAAGAGAAAGAAAAGAGGAAAAGTGAGCTTTCAGCAATTAGTGGAGACTCTAAACATCTTTGATAGTGTTAAAATCTCAAAACAGCTGGAGTCACAAAACAAGCAGCTGTTCAATATGCTCTGTGTGTTCGGAGGTGCGTGTGTGCATGCATACATAATGTAAGTAAATCACAGGGCTCGGAATAATAGCCTGAAAGAAATATGTCATTGAGAAGTCCTTGGCTTAAATTCTTATAATTAAAACGTGAAGATGCCCACAAAACACTGTTATCTTGGAAATTTAGTTTCACACTGTTTTTAATGAAATAAAGTACGTGTTGTATGGAACTAAAACTAAATAATGTGGTCTAACAATCAAGACATGAAATTCTTGTAGCAAATGGTAGGCTGCTTCACTAAGCTTTGATTCTGTTCTTGCTGTAGCTCTTTGTTTTCTCAAATCTCTCTTCTGCTGTCATTATTTATAGTCTTATTTTATACTAAATTCTATATAGGACCCTATGAGGAAAAGTGGGCACCAAATATAGACCTAATAGGTGCCTTGCAGAACCTTTTCGATATATGTTCAGCTGAGGTTGTGTTTTGGGTCAAGGAGTCACAATCCATTTTCTGCATGTGAGTTCTTTCTTTCTCTGTAGTGGGAAAAATTATCCTTTTAATTGCAAAGATAAAAACTTTCACCCTTTTTGGTCACTTAGCAGTCATGGAAATGAAGTTCTCTGTATAAATATATACATTTAAGTTAAGTGATACATGTATTACCTTAATTTGCTAGTAGGTGTAAGGTATGAATTATAGTACCTCCCAAAATGATACTTATTCTTGTTTTTCCATAGTAATCAACTAAGAAGATCATTTTTTTTTAAGTTTCTCTAACTCAAATGCAACATACCATATTTCCAGAATTCTAAAACATGTATAGTTTCTATATTTTATCATGTAAGGATATATTTTAAATAGTTCAAGGTATTTCATGTACCTCTTTTACCAAACCTGACAAGAGACAATCTTCTCTTGAACTTTTCCCTATGGAGAGCTCTGTCTTTTCTTTGCCATACAAAATTTTAAGGTTACAAATATCATTTCCTTACTATGGTGAAATGGATATTGGACAATAAGTTACAGACCAGAGAATTATTTTACTTATTTACTTATTTACTTATTTGTTTTTAGGAAAAGGTGTGCTTTTTGACAGCCACAATCATTAGCAGGTAGAGCAGTATAAGAGGAATGGTTGTGTATGACCGCTTTCTTCCCCTAATCTTTCCCTCTGAGAAACTTAACATAATGATTTTGGTACTTTTGCTTATCAAATCTCAGAATTTTCTCAAAATATTGTTCCAGAATGCCAATTTACCCAAAAATTGTGGTTGGCATAGGAAATAAAGCTGATTTTGCATCCCTAAACTACATAATCTCTGAATTCCTTTTCAGATATAATATTATATAGTTCTACAATTATAACTTTTAATATTAATAGCTTCTATTTTGGTTTTTATAGGAAAATTTTAGTTTATTTTTGCTAATGTACGTACCGGGATGAATAATATCAAATACCAGATAATAAAAAAATAATAATTAATTTCCTATATAGTAGTAATTTCTGTTGTTTGTGCTCTTATTCACAGAGGTTAACAGAAAGTAATGTACTTGATTGAAGGGAATTATAGATTATATACTATATCAAATTTATCTGATAAATAATGATTAATATATGACTCCAGTTAATTTTTCTAAATCTGAAGATTAAAATAGACAGTTTTTATGTATTTAAATGTGACAGAGCCAAAACCGGTTTGGCTTAGTGGTAGAGCATCGGTCTATGGACAGAAAGGTCCCAGGTTCGATTCTGGTCAAGGGCATGTACAAAAAGTTGCGGGCACATCCCCGGTGGGGAGTGTGCAAGAGGCAGCTCGTCGATGTTTCTCTCTCATCGACGTTTCTAGCTCTCTATCTCTCTCCCTTCCTCTCTGTAAAAAATCAATAAAATATATATTTTTAAAAATGTATAAAGGGTCTACAAACTATTAATTTAAAAAAATAAATAAATAAATGTGACAGAATATAATATTAAACAGGGTTTTTCATCTCAAACTTTTATATATATAACTTTATTATTTTTGTGGTAGATTTATATTAAATGTTATATTTATTTAATCACTATTTATTTTTATTTATTACTAGATTTTTTTCAGAGACAGAGAGAAATATAGATCAGTTGTCTCTAGAATGCACCCCAATTGGAGTATATGCCCTGACTGGAAATGAAACCTGTCCTTTTGGCGAATGGGGCAATGCTTTAACAAACTGAGCCTAACATGCCAGAGCTTAATCACTATTATTTAGTGTAACCTAAAAATAAAATTCAACTGTGTATAATTAATGTTCTCTTATTTTTATTTTAAAAGCTACATGATCTAAGCTTTTAAAAAAATGTTTTCTAAAAGTGAATTTCTACTTGCTTATATAATCAGTAATGGTATAATTCACTACAATAATGAAACATTCTAGTGACCAGTGGTTTTGCAAAAATTCATGAAAAGTAATAACTATACTTTATATTGCTTTCTGTGCTGACTTCATGGACATGAGTAGCTACTATGATTTTTAATGAAACTTTAACCTCAATCTGGTATGGTCTAGGAGGATTCCTCTCTGGGGCTATTTTTCACATTTATTTAAAATCCCATAACCTCCTTTATCCTTGATAATTATATTCCTAATAAGTTTTAATTTATTTTGTATATATTAGTTGTCTTGCCATTAATCATAATTAATATATTTGATTTTTATATGCATACCATTAGGATAATGCTTCTAAACTTACACTTTGTCAGCTTTCATTAACTGACCAATTAATTAAATGTACCTTATCATCTCAGACTTTCTTTGAATTTTCAAGAACTGTGTAAAACAATTTACATTAAAGTCTGAATGTTGAGATTGTATTAACTAGAATGCCTAAAATCTTGAATAAACATTTAACAACTAATCTTCTAATATGGAATTAATTTAACCTTGATTCTTTCTAAATTAATTTTCATTTTTATTTACATTTTTATTTTTTATTTTGTGATATTTTGACTTTAAAGATTGACATTCTGAGATACCACTTCTTATCTCTTTTTTTCCTATATATACTTTGACTTTACATTTATTTATAATTTATATTTTAGTTTTAAATATATTTTGAAGTTAGCACATATTCATATATAGAATGATTAAATTAAAATTAAAGCAGAGATCATAAATCGTATAGTAGAAATAAGAAATTGTTCAGCTGGGAACCAGAATGATATTATTGCTGAAATTTAGTATTTGATATGACTATTGTTTTCTAATTTGTTAAGAAAAAGGACAAAAGCATTTTCAATTCACCAGTTTAGTAAAAGAGACAAAGCATTTTCAAAGTTTTAAATCCCAGTGGGCTCTGTTTTTCTAAGGCCAGAAATCATTACTCAAACCCTTCAACACCCCACCTCCATTCATTCATTCACCAGTGTACATATTACCTCCATTTTGAAAACCTTATATTATGTACTCAGTAAGGAATTACCTTTTCTCTGAATTATACATGAACAATTTTAAAAGCATAGAATGCCTATCATCTGAGAGGCAGATAACAGACACTGAACTATTTCTAACCCTGGCAATAATCCTGCAAGATTTATGCTACTCACCCACTTTACAGATGATGAAACTGAGACTAACAGAACCTAACTAATTTGCACAGGCTTAATAATTAAAAGGAAGAATTTTTAAACTGTATTTCAATAGCATTTTGTAATTTGAGGATCTCTTCAGGTAGAATATTCCTTTAAAATTTACATAATTGTATAATAGATTATAAGCTTAACTCACTGTTTCTCAAAAAGGAGAAAACATATGAAGCTCATTGACAGTCTATTATTGCTGTGCTTTCTTGCAGCCTGCGAACTTATGAATCAAGGCATCTTGGCCCTGGTCAGCTCCATTGGCTGCACATCAGCAGGGTCCCTCCAGTCTCTGGCAGATGCCATGCACATCCCCCACCTCTTCATCCAGCGAGCAACTGCTGGGACTCCAAGGAGTGGCTGTGGACTCACCCGCAGCAACAGGAATGATGACTACACGCTCTCTGTTCGTCCACCTGTCTACTTAAATGATGTTATCCTAAGAGTGATCACAGAATATGCCTGGCAGAAATTCATCATATTCTATGACAGTGAATATGGTAAGTGTTTGTGATTTGTGTGTGTTTTGTAAGTGGTATTTGTACGACAAGCAACTTTATTAAATCTCGACAAATTTCAAGGAGATTACTCGTTGTCATTTGTGGTTTTCTTGTCCTGTCAGAGTCTTCTAATAAATCTAGTACCAACAAGAAAAATGTTAAGGTAAAGTTCAGTCATTTCTATTAAATCCCTTTAAGTCAAATTCTATACAATAAAAGCCTAATACGCAAATTTCCCCTCTATCAGGAGTTTGACCAGGGGATGGGGCCAGCCAGCCAACTGCCCACAGCCCCCCACCACCACCCCACCCCAGCAGCCTCACTCTGGCCAGAAGCAGCAGGCAGCCAGGAAAGGGAGGCCCCAGCCAATAACAGCAGCAGGCAGTTGGGGGACGGAGGCCCAGTTGACAGCCAACAGCCCCTAGCAACCCTACCCATGCACAAATTTCATGCACTGGGCCTCTAGTCCTATCTAATAAAAGAGTAATATGCAAATTGACCATCACTCCAACACACAATATGGCCACGCCCATGTGATCAAAGATGGCCACCCCCATGTGGACACAAGATGGCTGCCACAAGATGGCCAGCAGGGGAGGGCAGTTAGGATGGACAAGTCCTGCAAGGAAGGGCAGTTGGGGGGGGACAAGGCCTAAAAGGGAGGTCAGTTGGGGGGGGGGGGGAACAGACCTGAAGGGGAGGGCAGTTGGGAGGACCAAGCTGGCAGGGGAGAGCAGTTAGAGAGGACCTAGCCTGCAGGGGAGAGCAGTTGGGGACAATCAAGCCTGCAGGGAAGCAGTTAGGCATCAATCAGGCTGGCAGGGGAGAGGTTAGGGGGTGATCAGGCTGGCAGGCAGAAGCAGTTAGAAGTCAGGATTCAGGTATTGTAAGGGAGATATCCTACTGCCTGTTTAGACCTAATCCTGTCGAACATCCCTCGAGAGGGACCCAGATTGGAGAGGATGCAGGCTGAGGATCACCTCCATGGTACCCCCCTCCCCCATGAATGAATTTCATGCACTGGGTTTCTAGTTTTAATATAAATGCCTATACCAAATGCTGTTTATATATATTTCTGAAAGAAATCTAACTCCAATACATCTTCATTGTTCAAATAATAGGAAGTCATAAAAATAATACTATATTTTCCCCTTTCAAAAACATTTATATCTCTAATAATAAAAGACTATTTGGGAAAGATCTTGGAACACTGAAAAAAAAATGCTATTTCCATTTATTGGTTCCAAAAAATCCAACATAGCTTGCTTACATCCTTATGTAAACTTTAATAACTACTTAGAACTTAACTCTTTGGGGGCCACTAAAATTTTAATGTAACCTAGCATAGCATATTATCTACAATATGAAATTTCACAAAATAGTAAGTAGCATGAGACACTTCATTTAACTTTCCAAGGTAAAACACAAAGCATTTGTCCTCAGTTTAGCATAATTTGCAAAGATGGTTTGTCTCAGAATTTTTAAATTGCATTTAATTAAGCAAAAATTATATAATTTTGACCAAAACCAGTTTGGCTCAGTGGATAGAGATCAGCCTGCAGACTGAAAGGTCCCAGGTTTGATTCTGGTCAAGGGCATATACCTTGGTTGCAGGCACATCCCCAGTAGGGGTGTGCAGGAGGCAGCTGATCAATGTTTCTGATGTTTCTCTCTCATCGATGTTTCTAACTCTCTATTCCTCTCTCTTCCTCTCTGTAAAAAAAATCAATAAAAAAATTTAATGATATATTTGTTTATTTTATTTTTCTGAAGTAATCTACTTGTTTTCTAATTGATCCCAGAGATATTTTAAGATAGTTTATCTCTTATTTTTGTTATTTGGGAAATAAAGATGGATATAATCAAATGAGAGTAATAAAGATTGGCAAGATATATATAGTTTGAAATATGTGTTTCCTCAGATATTTGCCTTAAGAGGGAATCTCAGAACAATTTATACATTCGTACGATGTGTCTAGTTTTTACAGTTTTGTAAAAAAACAAAAAACAACCCAGCAAGACAATTTTACCTCCTGTAGTGCAGCTTATTTTCCCTAGCAAATAAATAAACATTTTAAAAATAATGGTTTTCTTGTCTTAACCTACTCAGCATTGTGAACAATATTGGGAAACAGATACCCAAGACTCAGCCAGAAAGAGGCATCAATAGAAATGAGCACAAACAGGCTGGCAGGAATCCGGGGAGCAACAAATAGGAGCTCCTGTGGACTCCCAGTGCCCAAAGCAAGTGGTAGCTATTGTACATTTAGCCCTAAATATTCAAAGGTCGCCTGGGGTTTTGGCAGCCAGAGTCACATTAAGCTTGATGGGTAGATTTCAGCCAAAAGTCTGTGGCACTCACTCCCCCGGAAGCACACTCCTTTGTGTCCAGCACGGAATTCTTTCTTTTTATTGCTTAATTCTAGCTATTTAGGGGTCACCAAACAAAGACCAAGAGACTGAAATTAATTAAATAAACTAAAAGAAAATTTAAAATAACTGATTCATCAGTAAAAATAAGAATTGGATAAAATTCAAAATTCACTGATAGGATTGTTTATTGAACATAGTACATTCTACCAAAGGAACCAATATGCTGAGTATGGGTCTGTCAGGATTTTTCCAGTTAAACTATATATAATTTTTATAACCATAAATAGCATTCTTATGACCTCTGCTAAAACATAATTTGAAATAATGAGTTTTTAAAACCTAAATCTTTGTTTAAGGTGAGAAAAGATTTTTTTAGTTAGGCCTATCAAAATAATCCTGTAAGATAAGGAACAGAAAAGTGAGTTTTGGATAAAGGCATTTTCATATCATTGAAATGAGAATTTTACTCTTTAATATAAATGTCCATGTGGAAATCTCTTGTTATCTTGTTTCTATGCCCTACATGGGTTACATTAGGGAATTAAAATAATACATTTTTGTTATTAATGAGGCAAACATTTTTGTAAATGTACTCTAAATTTGTAGTCACATAGAATAATTTACATTCATCTGAAATTTCTTACTTTCTTTTCCTCTGTTTTCTTTCTAGTAAATAAGATGCTATACGTTCTGTGTATGACTGGGTCCCCTTAGTGCCCATGGGTAAAACTCCCCTGTCCTTTGGGGGAGTGAGGTGCATCACTGATAGAAGCAGGGTTTGTTTTAGGAATAATAATTTTAAATAAAAACCGTTTTCTTTACTTTGATGATGAACTTGCTTCTGACTTACTATTTAATTTAATAATTTATTTAAAATTGCCTTGCTTCTATCATTAAAATTATTTCTAATATTATTCTTGTTAGTGAAAGAAAGTTTCCCTTTGATACAACAAATCTTGCTATTAAAGAACTGGGCGAGAGTCCAAAATAAACATCAATCTATCCAAATACCTTGTACCTTGAAGAGGGTTTTGTTTATTTACATATCCATTCATCAGTGTCCTCATTTTAAGTTCAAACATTGGATTTGCACTTGACTTTTATCTGGTTACTAGTAATTGCTTTCATTAATGAATGGATTAAGCATCATCTATGGATGGGTTCAGGCAGACTGCTGGAGCCAAATGTAATTGAAGATATATTTTGCTTAGAGAAATATACTTTAAAAAAAAACAACAACGATTAAGCTTCTATATCCAGTTAATTAGAGAAACACTTTTTCCAAAAACAGTCAATTATGATTAAGGGCAGAGTATAAAAGTCTACTTTAAATTCCCTAACAAAGAAGAATCAAGTCTTTGATTCTAAGTAAATGCATGAAAAGAGAAATGAAATGTGGACACTTTATTTGAATGGATTGATTCAAAACATTTTCTAAAAGGCTTGAAAAGAGTTTAGAAAGTGTTGAGCTTTTAAAAATGTGTCATTCAGCAAATGTTCATTGCTCGTTTGCTTAGAGCAATGCAAAATGTGAGATTAAAAAAGTTTTACAGAATGTAGTCTCAGCCTTTAAGAAGCTTACAATAAAAAAAGAGGTAAAATATTTATATGACTCTCTTAATAGAGAAAATAATGTAAGTATTATGAATGATGCAAACTAAACCCCAGTGGTGAGTTATAAAGGAAGTGTCTAATTTCAGTAGCAATAATCAAGGCTGTATGGGTGGACTTTGCCTTGATTGTTGCCTCTCAAAATCCTACAAGCTTTCACAAAGTATAGCAGACGGCTTATTCAATAGAAAGTCTCACAGCAGTAAAAATATTAAAAATAATACCTCTAAGAATTTTACTTTCCAGGAATTAGAATAAGTATTTTATATTATATAATTTACTCTCTTCAATATCTACTGCCTAAATACCAATAGCAATTTCCCATTTTTATCATAATGTGCTTTTCAGATATTCTGTCTTTCTAAATTTCTTTATCCTTATCTAGTCTCATTTTTCAGTATCAGTATATGAACTGACATATTTACTCATTGCTACATGCTCTTAGTGCCTTCAAGAGGCAAGACCCATACCATTTTTATCAAAATAAAAACACTTATACCTTGCTGTGGTTCCTTATAATTTCTACAACTTAAAAATTTATGTTAACTCTTTATTGTATTACTCATTATATTACCCTACCCTTTTAATTCTGCATCATTCTCAATTTGCTTAGCTTTCAACTAAATCTTTGAGAGGAAGTTTGGTCAAATAGGGGGGATATGATACTCAGGAAGAGTTATTAAAAGCAATTGGCAGTAATCTAGGCAGTCTATTACCAGAGATATCTAAGAAAGTAATTAATTGAATATACCAGTGAACGGCTAGATTCCAGGATCAGGGAACTGACAATATACAGAAACCAGAAAATTATATAGGAGAAGGTGGTCCTTAAAATAGAATAAAAGCAGATAGATTGGTTTAGTGGGAGGATTCTGTTCTGAAAGTGCTGATGAGAGAAAAGATGAATTTCAGGCCTGGGAGAACTGAATAGAACTGATTTATTAGAGTGACATAGCAGTAAGGTTGAAGTACTCTTTATCAAATGAGTGATTTGGGTTCTTTCATTTCCTTTGCCT